TAGGCAATGCAGTCTGTTTGGTAAATTTTTCTGGCAATTAAACAATTTTTTTTGTGAAAATTTAAAATTTTTTCACTTATTGGCATTTTCAAGGTGTGACTTTGAAGTTCCATGATCCTGAAGACCTTTGCTTGTCACATTTTCTGAATGTCCATGTTATTAATATTTTATGATTGAAAATTGATGGTCATTATGCTGTTAAACATTATGTAATGTTGCATCACCTATTTTGGGCACTGCTCCTATGATGACCATTTAAGGGAAATCATGTCACTTGCTGTTCTCAAACTTACAGGAAAGAAACATGGGTCTAACATACAGCTTCAGTAGGCAATGCAGTCTGTTTGCTAAATTTTTCTGACAATTTAACATTTTTTTGTGAAAATTTAATTTTTCACTTATTGGCATTTTCAAGGTGCAACTTAGAACCTCCACGGGCTTGAAGACCCATGCTAGTCACATTTTTTGAAAATCCATGACACATATATTTTATTATTAAAAATTGATGGTCATTATGCTGTTAAGCATTATGTAATGTTGCATCAAAATAGAAAAAAACACAATTTTTGGTGCTGCTGCCATGATGACCATTATGGGAAAACCGTGTTACTTATGATTGTCAAACTTTCAAAAATGAAACACGGGACTAAAATGCAGCCCGAGTTGAAAAAGCAGTCTAATTGGCTTCTTTTTCTGGAAGTTATACATTTTAGTGAAATATTCATTATCTTTTTTGGCATATTTATTGTGTGTCTCGGAGCTCCCATGGACATGAAGCAGATTGGTAATCAAATTTTCTACATGTCCATGCTATTTATAGTCAATAATCAAAAATTGGTGATAATTATTCTATAATTCATTATGTAATGTTACATCAAAATTGACAATGATCTTTTTACACAGCTACTGCAAACAGGGTTCTGCCAAGGCCGCGATTCTGCGAGATTCTCGCCAAAAAAATAAAATTCTCGCACAAAAATTACCAAAGATGCGAAAATTCTCGCATACAAACCGAGTGAGGGTGCTATCATTGTTTTTGAGATGATAAAATACACATTGAGAGTGGCGTCTAAAATTGTTTATCTAAATAATCATCACCGGTATAAATTTCTGCGCATCATACGCTGCATTGACCTGATAACACAGTGTTCCTAACGTCGTCATATTGCGACGATGTTTTACTGCATGTGTACACTCGTAAGAGATCGTTTCAAGCAGCGTCGTCATTTGTTGTCGTAATATCAATAGTACCTCTTCATGACTACAGTCCAATCGGCAATCCTCGGGTGATTCCGCTGCACTCGGCCTAAAGTAGGTTGAGCGATTTGAGCGGTTTTATTGGTTCTCTCACTCGCGGGACAGTCAACCAATGATAGACGGCGTGACAGTGACTGTGATATTGGTGAAGCGTGGTTAAAATGGCGGCTTCCTTGCTTTCGTCGCCGACAGCGAAAGTTAAGAAACAGAAATCTATTTTAAGTTTTATGCCAAAGTCAGGTGAATCCGTCTCTCCGCCTGACAAGTCTGAGAAAAGGAAGAAACAAATTTCTGAAGATGCGACTTCAGATGAAACTGAAAGATCGTCGACGATAAAGGTATGGTCATTCCGTGGCATTTTTATTTTACCTTTTGGAAGGACACTTGACACTTCGTTTGAAAATGTGAAAGAAAGTAAAAAAAAAGTAATAGGCCCGTTTTTGATACGATTATTCCTCTATATGTGAGTATGAAAACTGAAAAAAAAAAAAAACCTTAAAAAATGACGGGTCCCGTTTCTGATATGCTTATTCCTCCTACTACAGTAGTATGTGAGTATGATAATATGAAAAAGAAGTTGAGGTCCGTTTTTGGTATGTTTATTCCTCCTATGTGAGTATGATAATATGAAAAAGAAGTTACAAAAGTTAGGAGGCCCGTTTTTGATATGTTTATTCCTCTCTCTCTATAATGTATATATATATATGTGTGTGAGAATAAAAATTTGAAAAAGGAAATGTTTAATTTTAATGAAGAAGTAAGGAGGTCTGTTTCTGATATGTTTATTCCTCTGTATATATGTGTGAGAATACTAATTTGAAAAAAAGTTAGTGCCTCCTAACCAGGGATGTTTTCATAGAATACACTCAACCAAATGTGTGACCTATATTTTTTTACTTTAGCCTTTATTTTAAAAAGAAGTCAATATTGTGAAAACGATACATCAAAGATAAAAAAGTCCTTCCCAAACACTTTTATGAAATTTTTCCTGATAAAAGTGTTAATTAAGTCATGATTAATCATCAAAACCTAAAAATTCTTTTGGATTGTGGTGTCTGGTTCCAGAAATTATAAGTTTGTAAGTAGAAGAAATTTTAACATTTTTTTAAAATTTTAGGTCTGCAGACCAAATGACATCGAAGGGCCTGAAAGAAAGAAACCAAAAGTAGTGCCACAGAAATTTCAACACGATTGGTTAAGAGATTATTCTTGGCTCCGCTATGATAATGAGGCAGATGCTATGTCATGTGCACTTTGCATCAAACATGGTAAGAAAAATGCAATGACTGATAACAACAAGAACTTTAAAACCACATCACTTGACCGCCATGCAGGCACTGCTGACCACAAAGAGAGCGTCACAGCTGAAAACATGCAGGGACAACTGCAGAAATCTGTAGAGAAACTAGTGAATGAGAAAGAAGCTGCAGCTTTGATTGCCTTGAAATCTACATACTGGATAGCCCAAGAAGGTCTTGCTATTTCTAAGTATGAAAGCCTGCTGGATTTGTTGGAAGAAATGAAGTGTCCCAATATTGAAGAGTTAAAGTGCACCAAAAGCATCAATTATAGATCTGATAAAACAGCAGGAGAAATGATAAGCACTATTGCAACTGTGATCAGGAGAGATCTTGCTGGTAAACTGATGGCTAGTCCATATGTTAGTTTTCTCTTAGATGAAAGCACTGACATTGCAACAACCAAAAAACTAGTACTTTATGCCAGAATTCTTGATTCAGAATTCACTCCTTCCACACATTTTGTGACAAACATCAAAATAGAAAGTACCACAGGTGAAGCTATCTACAATGAGCTGAAATCTGTAATGAATGAACCTGGCAGAGTTATTCCACCATCAAAGGTAATGGGCCTTGGGACAGATGGAGCTAAAGTTATGACTGGGACTGGGAAAGGGCTAACTGGATTCATGTTGAGAGACAACCCAATGATGCTGAACTACCATTGCATAGCTCATAGACTGGCTTTAGTCACATCACAAGCAGCCAACCAAGTCGCCTACTTAGTTGATTATCAAAACACATTAACGGGAATTTTCTACTTTTTCAAGTCATCAGCTAATAGAGTTGCAAAGTTGTCTGCGATACAGGATATGCTGAATGAACCCAGCCTGAAAGTGAAGGAGATCCATGAAGTAAGATGGTTGTCTACATATATTGCAGTACAAACAGTGTATAGGACACTCGATTCACTGCTCACATTTTTCAGCTCTGATCAAGATGCGAAGTCCAAAGGCTATGCAAAGAAAATGATTCAGTATGACTTTGTAGCTAGTACCTACCTGATGATGGATGTACTTCCAATCGTATCTGAGATGTGTTTGGTGTTCCAGAAGGAAGACTTGGATGTCAGTCAAGTGAAGGTGAACTTCATTATTGTTAAATGTTTGTAGATTAGTTTTTAAAAATGATTGTTCTTAATTCATAGTTGTTTTAAATTTGACTGCCTGTAGATAACTTTTTAAAAATTGTTCTTAATTTTTTTTTAATTTTCTCCTCTTCTATTATCTTTTTCTTACCTTTAACATTTTTTTCTATTATCACTTTCCTCTTATTCATATAAGTTATAATTATAAGTAATTTTTCTTTTCTTTTAATTTTGAATTTTATTTACAAAGTTTAAAGAATGCTGGCTTTTAAACTCTAAATATATTATTATTATTATTATTATTATTATTATTAGGTACAGGTTGACCATGCCAGAAGGGCACTGGAGAAACTCAAGGCTGGAGAAGATGAAACTACTTATCTGCATGAACTGAAGGAGAAACATCTGACGATTGAAGGAGGGAAGTTTGTCTTCAAGGGAAATCACATTCTTCAGGGAAAACAAAACACCGAGTCCATCAAATTGCAGCTGATTGACCAGATCTTGAAGAAGCTGAGTGAAAGATTTCCTGATGATGATAGCAATGTCATTTATGCTTTTTCTATACTTGCTATGAGGCCACTGACTTTCTTATCTAAATCAGAGCGGAAGACGTGGGGGGAGGATAAATTAGAAGTTTTAATCAAGCAGTATGGGGAGGAGAAAGTCACACAACAAGTAACGCAGGAGCCTTTGATTAACCCAGGTGACACCAGGAGAGAGTGGGCAATGGTCAAGGAGCTGGTTTTACATGAAGGCTATAAAAGGGACAAAATGACAGAGCTGTGGAGCCTTGTGAACAAGCACCACAAAGATGATTATCCCAACCTCCTCACATTAGCAGCATTGGCATTAATTGCCCCCATTCACACAGCGGATTGTGAGAGAGGCTTTAGTGCCCAGAATGCCACCAAGACAGCACTGAGGAATAGGCTCTCTCCTGACAAAGTGAACGACATCTTGACAATTAAACTTGAGGGGGGGGGATAGGAGAAAGTTTGACTTCATGGAGGCTCTTCAAGAATGGAGAGTCAAAAACAGGAAACTGTTTGTTAAATGACTAAGTTAGTTGTTCATTATGTGAACTTAAATGGACAGTACAGTACAGCAGTGTTGGCACATAGCCTAAAGTTTTTATAGAAAAATCATTTGCAACTGTATATACATACAGTCTATTTAAAAGTTGCTTTCAAAGTTGAATCAGTTCAGTTTGTGAACTTTAATAAAATACCAGTACAGACTAGCAGTGTATGTTTTTATGTAAAATATCATTTTTCCTGATCTCCCACTATTTCTCAAAATCTCCCCAACTTTTAAGCTCAGAGGGGAGAATTCTCCCCCCTTTTTTGAGACCTTGGCAGAACCCTGTGCAAACATTAGGAAAAGAAAACTGTGTTACTTATTATTATATTTAACTAATAAGTATGATTTTTGGGATTGTCATGCAGTNTTAGATACCCATCAATGTAAACTTGAAAATCTGACCGTCTTCCGGAAGACCCAGAAGACACCCTAAATCCACCCCTGGAGATACCATCACTTTACCAATATTTCCATGCAATAATTTGATAATTATAAATATATTGGCATTTTGCTTTACAAATAATAATAATAATAACATCAATATATTAATTTACAGCCTAAAATCAATGAAAAAACTTCATTGGACATATTAATCTATGTACCTTCCGTCCTTCCATGAAATTGGGAAATTCCATGTTTTTTGCTGGTTCCTGAGATTCGTCCCCGGACCCCCGCTGGGTAGGTATTTGGGTCCTATGATAAATATTCAGAGGTTTTAATTGAAAGCTAGTCACCTTCTATCCTTCACTCACCTGCATGGTAATAATAGTATTCCCATTCTGTGTGGCCTTCACTGATCTGGTGCTGAAACTGTTGCCATCACGCAGACAATCCACATGGTACAGTATAGGCAACGTGTTGTCTCCTGAAAAACAGAATAATTACCATTAACAGCTAGAACAAGACATGGCAAGGAATGCAGAGAGTTTGGGTAGAGTATGTGTGAATTATTTCAATCATTTTATTTGATTATAGCTTTTTTATTCTATTGGATTATAAGCACAAGTTAAGTACATAAACCATTTTTGTTGAACATATGTCTGAAGACAATTTATATTTTTGATAGTACTTTTATAGATTAATGCCATCAATTAATGTCCCCAAAATTGAAAACCATCACTCCATTGGGGTTAAGGACATTTCAATTTTCCCAAATTGATTCACAGTTACAGCAAGTATCAGGAATTAGGATCAAAGGTTGGTTAAAAGGAGAAAAATATCCCTTAGCCCAAGAAAATTTGTTAATTACCATTTTTTTCAGGGAAATCTTACAATTCCTGTCTTTAAAAAAAAAGCTAACAGATGCTGAGTTGCCAATAAAATAACACGTCCAACATACAAAGCAGATCACGGTAATAAAAATATGTAAAACAAAATTACGCCAAAACCTACTTTGGATAAATATTAGGTAATAAACTCACCAGGTCTAATAAAATATGTGTGTAGACTGTGGACATGGAGATGATCAGCAACGGTTTTTGAGGCAGCTACCAGAGCCTGACCCACCACTTGCCCTCCAAACACTGCCCGCGACCTCACTGGCTTCCATAAATTAGAGCCCCTTGAAATATCAGCCACAACAACAATATTCACCACAAGATTATACCAAGGAGTTATAACTCCTTGATTATACGTAGATGTCTTATGAAGTTATACAAGTATTTGCATGAAAAAAAAAAAAAAGAAAATAAAGAACTGACAGTCTTTATATGCTAGTATGTTATGGTGATTGCCTCTGCATTATGTAAGGTCAACAGTTTTCTGTGGCATGGCAGTTTTACAGTGCAGCCTGTGCAAATTATTAGAAAAGTTTCCAGTACTGAACAAAAAATTGTGGAATGAAATCATAATACTATATAGTAGTCTCTCCCTCTCCCTCTATCATAAGCCAAGGGTAATCAAACCGTCTTTTGACATCTCTAGCAGCTCCACTCTTCATTATTTATATATGGTGATTATTTGTGTCATGTGGTGTAGCCAAGTTATCCAAGTTATATATTTACATATTTAGATAAACTTATACAGACGTATGGTAGAGTACAAATTCTAACATGGACATCAGAGTGACGCTTCCTACTAAAGAACAGCAGAGGGTCGACTGGTTTCACCTCGATGGGAATCTCATCAGCCAGAACCTTCTGGATGGTAGCTTTGGATTGCTTTGAGGTTCTGGTGTCTCTGAGGAGAGAAAATACATAGCAGTTATAGTATTGGATGAACATACATGTATAAAACTAAAAATGTTTATTTAGAAAAGTCCATGCCTTGCATGCCAATGACCTTTAACTTAAACCACATGACTTATTACATCACACCAGTGACATATACTTCTTGTATATCTGAAATGATGGTTCACTGGGTATAAGCTGCATGTACATAGGGACCATTTCCATACCCCTATCGTACTAGCAGGATCACTCTATCTTTGAGTGGATTCTTGCCAAATCCCATTCAGTTTAAGCAGTGAGAATCCCTAGCTATATAGGGAGTTAGATTGTTCTAGCTAGTACAATAGGTTTATGGGAACCCCATCTTGTGCAATCATGCCATGTGTGTGCGTGTGTGTTGTGAGAGGAAGCCATGAAGGCAAGATCACATATATCTTCCATATGGTATCAGTGTTTGTAGTGTCAATTTAGGTTTCAGGAAACATCACTGCAAATTCTACAGAAAATAGATATACCTGGAAACAGCAAGATGGTCTTGATAACAAAGGCAAGTTTCTAGTGAACTATGTCACGCCAGGTCCAATAAGGAAGTGGTATTTTGTTTCACATATAGTGTGACAGTTAGATATTGTGTTAGGTGAGATTGTGACTTGGCTGTAGCAATTTCAAAGAAATGAAATGCATGGATTATTAAAATTGTGTTAGCTGTGATGGAAACACAATCTTGATAATGATATTCTACATTCTACTGAACCCACTGAGTGGCAAAAGTTTTTACAGAGATCTCTTTTTAGAAAATTCCACACTTTTCTTTTATTCACCCACATGTCACAAACAGTTAACATAACAATAATCTTCAAACTGTTTTTAGTTCTCAGATATTTTTAATCTCTTTTTGCAACTCACTAATTGGAGATTGATGAGTTTCGCTAGAAATTAAGGCTCCAAAAACAAGTTAATTCTCAAGGGTTTTGATTTGTGTATACCTTGGTTATAAAAAAATTACTGAATATCACACAATTTTTTGGTTATGAATAAATATTCTACCATGCAGCTTATGCCTTAATGTTTACAATTCCATCCATGCAGATAAATGCTAATATGTAGCTTTTAAAGAACTCAAAACAAATATCTATTGAGAATTTAAAAAAAAACTCCTTACTGTAGAAAAGTTCTCAGGCACTCCTCAGTAGTCCGCAGTTTGTCAGGGGGTGGGGCATGTGGCATGGTATACTGATGGCTAAGAACCCCTTCCTCCTCCTTGTGGTATGACACCTGGTGGGGAAATGACATACTTATCACGGTCATGTTCACAGCAGATTACACTGGTTTCTCCAGGGGCATGCTCAAACCATGTTGGGTCTAAGTTAAAACTGATGTGAGTGGCACTACAGCAGTGGCCATATTGTGACCCAGAAATAGGTTGCAACTGATGATGACAAGTTTCAATTCAAGAGTCATACAGAGATCAGGGATGGATCCAGAGTTATTTTCTGACAGTCTTCAAATTTATCATTGTTGATCCATCCTCCATTTTTGACCGTCTTCCGACAAAAAAAATTAGATACCCATCAATGTAAACTTGAAAATCTGACCGTCTTCCGGAAGACCCAGAAGACACCCTAAATCCACCCCTGGAGATACCATCACTTTACCAATATTTCCATNTTTTGTATACAAGAGTCATACAGAGATACCATCGCTTTACCAATATTTTAATACAATAATTTGATAATTATAAATATTGGCATTTTGCTATACAAATAATAATAATAAAAACATCAATATATTAATTTACAGCCTAAAATCCATGAAAAAACTTCATTGGACATATTAATCTATGTACCTTCCATGAAAATGTGAAATTCCGTGTTTTTTTAATACAATTCTGCTGGTTCCTGAGATTCATCCCCGGACCCCGGCCGGGTAGGTATTTGGGTCTCATGATAAATATTCAGAGGTTTTTATTAAAGCTAGGCACCTTCTATCCTTCACTCACCTGCATGGTAATAATGGTATTCCCATTCTGTGTGGCCTTCACTGATCTTGTGCTAAAACTGTTGCCGTCACGCAGGCGGTCCACATGGTACAGTATAGGCAACGTGTTGTCTCCTGAAAAACAATAATTACCATTAACAGTTAGAACAAGATATGGCAAGGAATGCAGAGAGTTTGGGTAGAATACGTGTAAATTATTTCAATTATTTTATTTGATTATAGCTTTTTTCATTCTATTTGATTATAAATCCATGATAAATACATAAACCATTTTTGTTGAACATGTCTGAAGACTATTAATTTGTCAGCATTTTAACAGATTAATGCCATCAATTAATGTCCCCAAAATTCACCACAATTTAGGATCTCAGACTCCTGGCAAACCTCACGGTCTATCAGCCATCTTGACAGTTGTTAATCACATGTATTCCAAAAGTTAATGTGAGAATTGAGCTTGAGGGGATGATAGAATTAAAAAAGAAAATCACACTAAGTTTGGGTTAAAGACTTTTGAATTTTCCCAAATTGTTTTACAGTCACAGCAAGTGTCAGGAAAGTAGAATCAAAGGTTGGCTAAAAGGAGAAAAATACTCCTTAGCCTCAGAAAATTTGTTAATTACCTTTTTTTTTTTAGGAAAGTCTTACAATACCTGTCTTTAAAAAATAATAGCTAACAGATGCTGACTTGCCAATAAAATAACATGTTCAACATACAAAGCAGATCACAGTGAAAAAAAAAACATCAAAATCTACTTTAGATTTTATTAAGTAATAAACTCACCAGGTCTGATAAAATATGTGTGTAGACTGTGGACATGAAGATGATCAGCAACAGTTTTTGAGGCAGCCACCAGAGCCTGACCCACCACCTGCCCTCCAAACACTGCCCGCGACCGCACTGGCTTCCATAAATTAGAGCCCCTTGAAATATCAGGCACAACAACAATATTCAACACAAGATTATACGTAGAAGTTTTATGAAAATATACTAGTATTTGCCTGAAAAAAAAAAAGAAAAAAGAAAGAACTGACAGTCTTTATATACTAGTATGTTATGGTGATTGCCTCTGCATTATGTACGGCTAACAGAGTTTTCTGTGGCATGACACTTTTACAGTGCAGCCTGTGCAAATTATTAGAAAAGTTACCAGTGCCGAACAAAAAATTCTGGAATGAATAATATTATATACTAGCCTCTCCCTCTCCCTCTGTCAGAAGCCAAGGGTAATCAAACCGTCTTTTGACATCTCTAGCAGCTCCACTCTTCATTATTTATATATGCTGATTATTTGTGTCATGTGGTGTAGCCAAGTTGTCCAAGTTATATATTTACATATTTAGATAAACTTACACAAATGTATGGTACAGTACAAATTCTAACAAGTTACAACCTGTATGTAACAAATACAACGTTGCTGGATATTTCAACTCCTACAGTACTATGTAACATGTTGTTCAACTAATACTACTCCAAAGAAGAGTGTCAAAACAATGCCTCAATTGTGCTTATAGACAGTCACATGTATTGACCTCCAACTTGAATTCAAACAACCGACAGCGTGTGGATGCCCTCGTTTACCCAACTTCCCACCACACTTGTAGCAGACGAATTGTTACTAAAATACTGACATATTTTCCTAGCATTTTCTTTTAACACAAAAGCTACTAAAATGTAATATGAATACGTAGTCTTGAAGAGCGTATGGGTATTACCTATACAAGTTGACGTCTATTTCTTCGAGTTTGAGAATTGTATTTGTAAGATGATTTTCCAACTCTTCCCCCATAGTTGTTTACTTTTGATCAAACATTTGATAGATGGCGCTGAGCACTTGTTTCAAATAATATCATTGGATGGTTGCTGTCAAGGACAAAAATAGCCAATGACATCGCGCGTTTCTTTGGTCTTAGGTTCAAACAAGGTGAAGAAAATTCGTCCGCTGTTCAGATTGCGAAATTTCTCATATATTTTTCGGGAGTTCTGCTCCTAAATCTGTCATTTTTAGCTCAAGAAGGATTAAAGCTAGAAAAGGTAAGTTGCACATCACATATTTTCAGAGAAACACACAGAAAGCCCATCATTGTATCAAATTGTGCGGAAATTTTGATGTTTTACGACAACATTCACGATTTCATTTAGAATCCCACTGCAACACTCCAGAAAATGAATTCCGCAGATATTAAGTGCGAAAATAAACATGAATACTCTTTTGTTGTGTCAATGGTGTTTGAATATATGTGTGTTCGAAAAAAATGGGTGCAAAGTAATATGCAAGTGACCGTATGGTAGATATTAATGCCTCGGATTCACACCCAAAGGCCTTTTCAACGTTAAATAATCGGTCGAGTGTGGGACTGAGTAAACTGCGCATTTCACAGTGACAGCTTGTTATTAAGACTTATGTCTTATATAAATAGCAGCACCCCATCAGGTGAGACCCCTGTAAGATTATAGCATCAGAAACTCAAAATAGAACATGTCCATGGCAGTGATCGTTTCCAGATTGTCATGGATGAATAGCAAAGATCGCCCAAGAAATGTTTGGGACAGGTTTTCTCTTTAGAACATCTGCCTATAGCATTATTTTCACGGCACATAGGTAAGCAGTTTTCTGGTTTTGACTGGTTTAGAAGGCACAAGAGGGAGAAAGATTTCTAGGTGACTCAATTTTGTTTATTTTCAATATATTATTCTTGCTTTCATTTACAAAATTTCTTGTGCTTTTGTGTAATAAAAGAGGTTAAACCCAGTAGTTACACTGGTCAAAATTCTATATACGAGAAAGTCTTTAGAGACTATAAATTCTGAGTGAGATGTGTTCCATGTGAACCCTCTGAGCTAACTCCAGGGTCTCTCAGCCCAGATAAAGGTGAAGGTGTTCCACCTCTGTGTTAAACCCATCAGTGACTTATTTGCTGATGAAATTATGTGTCATCCAATTTTTCACCTGTCTTACATTAAAGGAAATCTATGCTGGACAGTTATTTTAGGCCACCTTTGTTGGAGAGCTGTAATTGTTGGATATTATTACACCAGCATGCTTTGGGATGGTCAGACATAAATGTATTCTTCAGTAGTAGTATGTAGCAGTAGTAATAGTATTGTGGAATTTTTAAGTTTAAATCAATTGGATATTGAGAAAAATATCACAATGAACACAGAACCAAATTTTTGTGATTGTCTTTGTTCTGTGTTGATGTCGAGACGTAACAAAAGGAAAAGAAAGAGGTAAAACTATAGTTCTCTAGATTTGTTCAGAATTACGTGGCAGGCTACTGCATTGAAATTCACTTTCATGATTAGTAAGTCAATTAGTTTTTCTTTTGAAAGAATTATTCTATGTTCAAAAATGAGATATCTACGTGTATACACATGAACTGTATATAAATTGTGTTTTTTCATGTCCGTGTGTGTTTATTTTTCTGTATTTCTCTACCAGTTTTAATGTAATTGGCTGGATTTATACTGACGTATTTGATCCTTACTTGTCACTGTGTCAAAAGTGCATGTTGGCTATCCTGATTCATTAGCTTTGTTATTTGCTAGTCTGTGGTGGTATAGCCTTACTTAATGCACTGCAAGGCAGTAGTGATATTTTACACCATTATCATATCATTTATCTCCATGTTATTCAAGTCACAAGGTTAAAGTCATTTAAGGGAATATATGCATGATTTCTGGCACAAGTTAATACATTAAACAGTATTTTCATAGGGTTTCAACTTCACTGTCATAATTTACCATCACTTTCTTCAGAATGAAAGGAAAAATAAGAGATTAAACAAATCTTGGTCATTTCAGAATGGCTGAGAAACTGACAGACATAGAGCTGACGGGGATTATTCTGGAGGAGACCAAGCCACGGACCTTGGGGGGAGACCCCTCTTCTGTACTTCTACAGGTAGGTGAGATCATAGATTACCACACACCTGGGGGGAGGGGGGCTCTTCCTTTGAACTTCTACAGTAAGCTAGTATATGATCTGAAGTAGGGGAGGAAAGGGAGGGGGGCACTTCATTGGTTGTAGTCCACTCATCGAAAGCAACTTTTGGTTCAAAAATGTGAAGAAAAAGTCCATTTAAATTGAGAAGGAATTGGTTTTAAATTCACTCAAAAAGCAAATACTAGTATTTGTCTGAATGAATTAATTCATGACATTTTTTTCTTTCCAATATTTCTTTCTGATTTTTCTTGGGTCTAAATAGACAGAAATTTGTTTTGATAAAGTTCTACCTGTCTTCTGTAGTAGTACAGGTATGTTACATCATACCTGAACAGGTGGAGAGCTAGGTTAGAAAATTGATCACAATCCTTCTCAGCAAAACAAAGAAAAGAATCTATGACTTAAAATCTGATTTCAGTTTTATACAAGTAATTATCATTAGCCTCTTTTAAGATGAAAGGTTGATCATTTTAGAAAAAAATATGTCTGTGTCAACTTGAGCATAGTAAATTTTAACCTAGTGCAAAAAAGTCTGGGTTGGCCAGCTGGCACATGAAATATATCACTAATTATATTGACGGCATGTTTGTCTGGAATTATTTTGTTTCACATAATATCCTTCAAAGGAAGGGCATGAGGTGGAGGAGGGGTGATTACTGCTACACAATTTACCAGACTGAAACACGCTTATGAGTTTGTCTTTTTCTCCCTGCGAAGTCATGTCAAGGTACACATATGATGAATATTGCAGTTGCAGCCATGTAAATATTTGAACTGTAAATAAACACATGATACTGGGAGCAGGAAGAAACTGGTTTTCATTTTTTCTTCCCAGCAGTACTAATTACTTTGTCTGTCTGGAGGGAGCTCAGCAGATTACTCCTTCACAAATCAGGAATTATGCATTGAAAGTTTAAAGTGTTACTGAGGTAATTTACACCTGAGCCCGTATTTTCACCTGGATTGCCAAGTATACGGAGTACCTGGGATGCCTGAGCACAGCTACCTGTAATATGATCTTCTTGTTCTGTGCCTTACTACAGCAACATTGAAACAAATTCATTTCCTCTTGAGTCCAAATGTCTCTTTTCTCATTAGTGGAAGTGAGGTTGGATTCATTAAAGGGAAACGTTTGATTGGTGCTGATGAATCTTTGAAGCAGAAATGTTTTCTTGAATATTTTTCTCTTTCTTTTTTTTCCAAGCGGATAACCCAAATACTGAACCTTGCCAGCTATCATGCCAGGACATTAATTCAGTGTTTGTTTACAGTGTAGAGGAGTTCATCTGTATGCAGCTGCTATACTTAGGCCCCCGTCTGGATGTTTTTATTTTTCTTTTTATGTTGAGTGTGTGAATGCCTGTGTGTGTGTGTGTGTGTGTGTGTGAGAGAGAGATAGAGAGAGAGAAAATGAGCGACAGGATATATATTTTTAACATTTTGACTCTTTGGGACATTAACATTATGCAATGTGATATTGGACATTTCTTGCTAGCACAGGTTATTTTGAGCGATATGTCCTTGAAAATGGAACCTCATGTTTATTTGTCCTGTATAGGCAAGGACCATCCAGGGCAAGCTGGCAGTTATTGAACCTCTCTCCCTCAATTAATTCCCAATCCTCATGTTTACCATAGTCTTGTAGGTATGCTTGGGATGCTGGGATGTTGAGGATTCCAGACATTGAGCCTAGTACTAGTAATTGATGAACCAAATATTTTGTCTCCCCCCCTCTCTCTCTCTCTCTCTCTCTCTCTCATTTATTTGCCCTTGAAGCATGAGTATTGCCTGTACAAATTTGCTTCATCATTTGAATGTAAACATAATGTATGCTGAAATCTTTTGAAATTCTGAGATTCCTGAAGATTTGTTTCTTGTTGGCATGCAAATGTTAAAACTGACAGTGACTTAAATTGGCTTAACAAAAAAGGCTTGATTCAACTTATTTTAGTCAAATTATAACCATTTGGATAACAAATTGACAAAGAAGTAGTGATTTGGCTCAGAGAAAAAAATTTGCTAGTGCTACCCCAGAGTGTGTGTCTCAAAAACCATAGTGATCAAGAATTCCATTTATCTAATTATCTAATTTTTCTCATTAGTAGGCACATTACTTAGTAATGAGCTTCTAGGTTCCATCATGCTTTATCTCACCTGTCCTACAGGGAATACAGGTAGATAGATGGTCACCTACAGCAGCCATGTCATCGTGACCCATGAAATNTAAGATACCCATCAATGTAAACTTGAAAATCTGACCGTCTTCCGGAAGACCCAGAAGACGCCCTAAATCCGCCCCTGGAGATACCATCACTTTACCAATATTTCCATGCAATAATTTGATAATTATAAATATATTGGCATTTTGCTTTACAAATAATAATAATAAAAACATCAATATATTAATTTACAGCCTAAAATCAATGAAAAAACTTCATTGGACATATTAATCTATGTACCTTCCATCCTTCCATGAAAATGGGAAATTCCATGTTTTTTTAATACAATTCTGCTGGTTCCTGAGATTCGTCCCCGGACCCCCACCGGGTAGGTATTTGGGTCCTATGATAAATATTCAGAGGTTTTAATTGAAAGCTAGTCACCTTCTATCCTTCACTCACCTGCATGGTAATAATAGTATTCCCATTCTGTGTGGCCTTTACTGATCTGGTGCTGAAACTGTTGCCATCACGCAGACAATCCACATGGTACAGTATAGGCAACGTGTTGTCTCCTGAAAAACAGAATAATTACCATTAACAGCTAGAACAAGACATGGCAAGGAATGCAGAGAGTTTGGGTAGAGTATGTGTAAATTATTTCAATCATTTTATTTGATTATAGCTTTTTTATTCTATTGGATTATAAGCACAAGTTAAGTACATAAACCATTTTTGTTGAACATATGTCTGAAGACAATTTATATTTTTGATAGTACTTTTATAGATTAATGCCATCAATTAATGTCCCCAAAATTGAAAACCATCACTCCATTGGGGTTAAGGACATTTCAATTTTCCCAAATTGATTCACAGTTACAGCAAGTATCAGGAATTAGGATCAAAGGTTGGTTAAAAGGAGAAAAATATCCCTTAGCCCAAGAAAATTTGTTAATTACCATTTTTTTCAGGGAAATCTTACAATTCCTGTCTTTAAAAAAAAAACTAACAGATGCTGAGTTGCCAATAAAATAACACGTCAAACATACAAAGCAGATCACGGTAATAAAAATATGTAAAACAAAATTACGCCAAAACCTACTTTGGATAAATATTAGGTAATAAACTCACCAGGTCTAATAAAATATGTGTGTAGACTGTGGACATGGAGATGATCAGCAACGGTTTTTGAGGCAGCTACCAGAGCCTGACCCACCACTTGCCCTCCAAACACTGCCCGCGACCTCACTGGCTTCCATAAATTAGAGCCCCTTGAAATATCAGCCACAACAACAATATTCACCACAAGATTATACGTAGATGTCTTATGAAGTTATACAAGTATTTGCATGAAAAAAAAAAAGAAAATAAAGAACTGACAGTCTTTATATGCTAGTATGTTATGCTGATTGCCTCTGCATTATGTAAGGTCAACAAATGGCATGGTATACAAGTGGCATGGCAGTTTTACAGTGCAGCCTGTGCAAATTATTAGAAAAGTTTCCAGTACTGAACAAAAAATTGTGGAATGAAATCATAATACTATATAGTAGTCTCTCCCTCTCCCTCTATCATAAGCCAAGGGTAATCAAACCGTCTTTTGACATCTCTAGCAGCTCCACTCTTCATTATTTATATATGGTGATTATTTGTGTCATGTGGTGTAGCCAAGTTATCCAAGTTATATATTTACATATTTAGATAAACTTATACAGACGTATGGTAGAGTACAAATTCTAACAACCTGTATGTAACAAATACAACGTTGCTGGATATTTCAACCCCTACAGCACTATGTAACATGTTGTTCAAATAGTACTTCTCCAAAGAAAAGTGTCAAAACAATGCCTCATTTGTGCTTATAGACAGTCACATATATTGACCTCCAACTTTAATTCAAACAACCGACAGCGTGTGACTGCCCTCGTTTACCCAACTTCCCACCACACTTGTAGCAGACGAATTGTTACTAAAATACTGATATATTTTCCTAGCATTTCTTTTAACACAAAAACTGCTAAAATGTAATATGATTACGTAGACTTGAAAAGAGTATTGGCATTACCTATACAAGTTGACGTCTATTTCTTCGAGTTTGAGAATTGTATTTGTAAGATGATTTTCCAACTCTTCCCCCATAGTTGTTTACTTTTGATCAAACATTTGATAGATGGCGCTGAACACTTGTTTCAAACAATATCATTGGATGGTTGCTGTCAAGGACAAAAATAGCCAATGACATCGCGCGTTTCTTTGGTCTTAGGTTCAAACAAGGTGAAGAAAATTCGTCCGCTGTTCAGATTGCGAAATTTCTCATATATTTTTCGGGAGTTCTGCTCCTAAATCTGTCATTTTTAGCTCAAGAAGGATTTAAGCTAGAAAAGGTAAGTTGCACATGATATATTGTCACAGAAACACACAGAAAGCCCTTCATTGTATCAAATTATGGGGAAATTTTTATGTTTTACGACAACATCCACGATTTCATTTAGAATCCCACTGCAACACTCCAGAAAATGAATTCCGCAGATATTGCGAAAATAAACGCGAATACTCTTTTGTTGAGTCATTGGTGTTTGAATACATGTGTGCTCGAATAAAATGGGTGCAAAGTCATATGCAAGTGTAGATATTAATGCCTCGGATTTACACCCAAAGTCCTTTTCAATGTTCATTAAGCGGTCGAGTGTGGGGCTGAGTAAATTGCGCATTTCACAGTGACAGCTTGTTATTAAGACTTATGTATTATATAAATAGCAGCACCCCGTCAGGTGAGACCCCTGTAAGATTATAGCATCA